GCACTTTATCATGCATCAGCAGATGCATGACAAACCAAACCAAGGAGGTGATACTTCCCCTCTATACAGCATTCGTCAGACCGCAGTTGGAGTACTGCGTCCAGTTTTGGGCACCATACTTCAAGAAGGATGTTGATAGAGTCAAGAGGGTCCAGAGAAGGGCCACTCGTATGGTTAGGGGCTTACAGGACAAGCCCTTTGAGGGGAGACTGAGGGACCTGGACCTCTTAAGCCTCTGCAAGAGAAGGCTAAGAGGTGATCTTGTGGCCACCTACAAATTCATTAGGGGGACGCAGCTAAGGATCAGAGAGGCTCTGTTCACCAGGGCACCTCTTGGGGTAACAAGGAACAATGGTCACAAACTGACAGATTTAGGCTAGATATCAGGAAAAACTTCTTCATGGTAAGGGTGGCCAAAATTTGGAATGGGCTTCCAAGGGAGGTGGTGCTCTCCCCTACCTTGGGGGTCTTTAAGAAAAGGCTGGATAGGCATCTGGCTGGGGTCATCTGACCCCAGTACTCTTTCCTGCCTAGGCAGAGGGTCGGATTCGATGATCTGTTGAGGTCCCTTTTGACTCTAGCATCTATGAATCTATAACTGGGGAACCCTGTGTAGGATCAGGCCCCTCAAGCTCCATAAGCACATGCCCAGCTTTCCCCTTCTTACAGAAACACACCCCTAGAATCTCCAGGGCATGTCTGCAGAAGTGGGGAAAGACAGGGTTTCTCCTTTCCTTGTTTATGGAGGCACACCTTAGAAATCCCAGTTTTACATCTCTGTAAGCAGGGAAACTCTGAATCTTTTCATTTACAGATATGTAACCCAGAGATCTGGGGAACATGTCTCTGTAAGAGGGGAAAGCTGGGCAGATGCTCCTAGGGCTCAAGGGGCTGAAGCCTGTGCAGGGATTCTCAGGGCATATCAGACCAGGTTCCTCAAGCCCCAGGAGAACATGTTGCCCATTGTGTTGGGACACATCATGGCATAGCTGATTCACTTAATTTGGTGATGTCTATTTGAAGTCTGATGGTCCTTCTCTTGCAAGATCCTGGTGCATGTTCAGTATTCTGATGCCCCATAGAGATAACTGAAGAGACCAATACTAATTTTAGAGGAAAACTTGCTTCCAAAGAACACTCCTTAGAAGAGCACTCAAGACACTGAAGTGTTTCTGAAGAACATTCCCTACCTAGAGAGAGCAAACAAACCATAAAGCATGACAAGAAATTATTTTTCTAACTTTTCTGTGCCATTTAAACTTGAGGTGGTAGCAGAACCCCACACCCCAAAATAAACATCATGTAGGTAAGACCTGAATTATCCTCACTGGAATTGTGTGCATGTCCTAGGCTCTTAATTCTGGAAGTGATCATGACCCCTATTAAGGATGAGCTCAGCTCGTCTGCAGGATTGGGCCCTCGTCTTTCTTTCTTACATTCAACACAATTTATAAGTAATTTCATTTAGGGAACAGTAAAGTAACATTTAAATTTTAGGTTAACTTTGAAGGATTTGTGATGATGAGAGCATGCCCCAGATGTCACACACAGCAAACTGAAACTTATGGCATAGTTTTATATATAGTCGTTTCATTATTTTCAAAACAGAAATGTCTGTGCTGTTAAATATAAAGTATGAACTTTTACAGCATGCAGGGAGAATGATGTTTTCACTTCATTGGCCCTGGACTATCAATAAAGGCACTGTAAGTGGGTTGTTTAGTCTGGTGGCTTCAACAGGCAGGTTTTGCTTCCTGAGGAGTTGCTCAGCCAGTCCTCCCAAATAAAACCCAATCTTTTAAACAAACCAAACAAGCAAAAGAAACTCCTGGGGATAATGTCCTGCTGTCCTGTCCCCAACACAGCAAATGTTTTAGCCCATAGCTTGCTCTCTCTTCTGCTCTCTCCCCTAGGGCTTTAGGCTCCCAGTGGGACACTGCCTCATTATTCAAATGCCCTGTATCTGGCCTCTCT